CCCCAAAACCCCAAAACCCCAAAACCCCAAAACCCCAAAACCCCATTTTGGAAAATTTGGATTGATCATAATATAATATTTACTAAAATGGATTCCCACGGAGCTTCTCAGACCCAACCAGAGATTACTGACGAAATCTCAGAGAAAATCAGAGAATTTTGTGATGAATTTGATATGTTTGAGAGACAAGTCAAGAGAGGAATGATGCATAATTTCGGAAACAGGCTTGAAGAAACAATGTGTGAGAATGACCAAGCTATCAAGAACTTTATTTTCAGGTAAGTTATAGTCCCAAGATTTTGTTTATACTCTTATGCTCTTCTAAGCTGATGATTTTGTATAGAATTTATTGTATCTTCTATTATTACATGAAAGCATTAAATACAGAGAAAGCTATCTCCTTCTTTATCTCTAAATACCACTATTTCACGGAAAGTGGAGATTATTTCTTGGAAGAAAATGAGAAACCTCTCTACTCTGTCTTGTTATGAGAGAAGGAAAACTTGGAAGCAAGAATTCCTGGGAAATTTGATTTTGATAATCCAAGATTCCCTGACATCAACTCTCTCAAAGCTCATCAAGACCAACTGATTTCAACAGTCTATTCTGATATCTACGAGAAAATAATTGATCTTGAGAACAGCAAGTGGCACACAATTTTTGAGATTGTGAAGGATAACAAGGCAAAGAACATTCATGCTACTATCATAGGTAAGACTCCATCATAATCATAGATTTCCCTATTCTCGAGCAGAACCTGAACTTGCAGACTGAGAAACTTCTAGATTACTCTAAAGACAGAGTGGATGACATGAGCCTAATGAAATACATGGTACATGATACTAAAGACAAGATTATATGCAGTGATATCAGCCAGACAGGCCAAATAGTCGCAATTGGCTTCGAAGATGGCCTTATCAAAATATTTAAGCATAAAATCTCCTCCTCTGCTTCAGGCTCTAAAAGAACTAGAGGAATTGTAAGAAGCTACTCTGAAAGATCCATGGGAACAGACCTAAAAGATGAAGATGTAAAGGAGAGCACAGATAACTTGATCGGACATAAAGGAGCTGTATTTTGCCTGTCCATTTCTGATGATGAAAAATTACTCATCTCAGGTTCTTATGATTCTAACATCAGACTGTGGTGACTTAATGATGGCAGTTGAGTGTACTGCTATAAAGCCCACCAAGGCCCGGTGTGGGATTTAAAGTTTTTCACCTTCTCTAATTTCTTTGCTAGTGCTTCTGCTGACTCCCTTGCTAAAATGTGGATTATCTCAAAGTTCGAGCCTGTGAGAATATTCGCTTTTCATGAGACTGATGTGATCAAGATAGAGTTTGTGTCTAAATATAAGTCCCTTGTAACAGCTTCAATTGATTTCCAGATGGTTATTTGGAACATAATCAAGGGTGAGAAAATGATTGTTATAAATTCGATTAAATCACCAATTAGATCCTTAGTGGTTACCAAGAACTGTAGATATCTTCTTACTGGAGATGAGTATGGTAATCTGTGCATCTTTGACCTAAACTTTAAGTGTATCAACATTCTGAACCTGAAGCATTGTTATAATAAAGCAATTTGGAATATTAGTTTTGATCAATACTTCAACTTCCTTGCTGTTGGAGATGAGGATACCATAACAGTTTACGACTTTAAGGAGCTCTGAAAGGTAGCCATCATTGACCCATCACAGAAGGAAAGAAATCCCCCTGATAACTGTATCATTCATAAGATGTCCATCGGAGAAAGTATAGATAACAGAATGTATGGAATTAAGCTTACCAAGTCGAATATCGTGGTTGCTGTTATTAAAGGTGATGAAAGCTAACTCAACAAGGTTTAAATGTCAAGATTATTCAACTAATCTCAACTTAGTTGGGGTTTTGGGGTTTTGGGGTTTTGGGGTTTTGGGG